TTTTAGTTACCAATTTGCTTTTCATATTGGCTGCTGTCTGCAAGAGGCCATAGCACTTGCAGCTGTCGGCCTGGCTAAATACTCCAGTCATGAGTCCAGATCCCACTCTCATCAGTGACATTGCGGCGCAATTGTAGGTCACTGCGTTGGCAGTACAAGAGTTGGACCTCTTGGGTTACTGCATATTTTTATATGTCACGTTTGCTCCAATGATGATCAGCATGATTCCAATCCAGTGAATTTCAAGCGGACACTCATTTCGTTACCAGCGACCTTGAGTGGTAGCTGCCTGCTGAGTACCACAGTTCAGGTCCACCAAATTTTCCGTTGCACTTTGATGTCTGATCCTCCTGGCCGCGGTCTGCCGGAAGCCAGATACTTTGCAGCTGTCGGCTTGGCTAAATGCTCTGGCAATGAGCAAATGGAGTGGTGCTGTCTGCAGGATACCACTGTGTCCATGTCCATTTTTCAGTTACAATTTTTGACTGTCCATAATGGCTGCTGTCTGCATAAAGCCAATGCGTGTGACATTGCGGAGCAATGGTAAGTCACTACGTTTGATCACTTTTGCAGTACAAGAGTTGGACCTCTTTGGGTTACTGCACATCATTTTGTCGTTCCACTCCACCATAGTCATAGGACTGACATTCAGTATCCTCTTGACTATTTTTAAGGAGTCTACCAGGTACAGGTAGGGAACGAATACCTGGCAGAGGTATGCACCAGGGGTGCACGCAGCGTGGGCTGCTGTGGGGTCACATTAACCAAAGCACTTTTGAACAAAGACTCTCAAGCTTGTGCGAAAAAGAATTCAGTCCGAATCTGATTCGTCTTATCTCAAGTCAAGTGTAACTGATGCAGCTGAATAATGTTATATATTGTTTGAACTCATCACTGTGGGTGGTGTCGTGTGTATATGTGTTTCTTTGTGCGTGTGTGTCACCCGGGTTCTGGCGCAAGAGGACGTGGAAACCGCCAGCGATGGGCGGTTTATTCACTCATGCACGAACAAACGCACTCACTCATTCACTCACTAATCATCACACTACCAGTCAACTCTTCAACGAACAGCTGCAACATACTTCACGCAGAGGCATCAAAGCATCAGAAATGATCACGCCACACATCAGTGATAGCCTTCCATCACACAAGAACTCATCACTCATGCTCATCAACCACAACAGTTTACAAGGTGTTTTGAAACTTCCGTCCAATGGCTTTGCCGGAGGATTACCTTGTAAGCATCCTGAGGCAGCCAAGACCCCGATCAACGTGGTGAAGAATGTCCGAGAGAATACAGGCCTTTGGAGGGGTTCGCAATGGTTTGCAGCTGGTTCTTTCTTGGGTGGGGCGTGTTGAGCCATGCCGACCAACTCCCAAGAACTCATGTGGGATTTGGAAGAACTCACTCCGAACAACCACATGACAGTTTCCTTTGTGGCTTAGGACTCGAACCTTGCAAGTGTGTTTTGTGCACACGTTGGGTGCGTGTTTGTTTCTTCTCTCCTTAGATATTCGGCGATGATTGCTGTCCGCTGTCCCCCGGTTTTGTAAGGGAAAACAACAAAAACAACTTTGTTTTCGCAAGTCCTGAGCAGAACAGAGAGAGGGCCCCGATTTGCTGGCTTGCAGTTGGTTTTTGTGGACTTGCTTGGGCACCGTCACATCAACAGTGCGTCCGAAGACATCGACTCACGGTGCCGCCAGGGCCGTTGGTTGCCTGGCTTCTCCAACACTTCCTCAAGCAGATGGACCAATTTGAGGCGAAAATGACCTAAGCTGCAAAGCACCGAGAAGACATAGACACTTTAAAGGCAGCTTTGTGAGGCTTGTTTGTTCAGTCTTTGTTTTTATTTTAAATATTGATCAACATCCTCCTTCAAACACATTCAATCACATGTTTTTTTCTTTGTTGACCCTTGGCCATGCAGACATTTGCATGGCCACTCAACTCCACTCAACTCAGGATTTCAGGATTTTCGTGTTTCCTGTTCCTCTCAAATCCGTTCCTCACGCCTCTCGCGCCATCCGTTTTTCTGCGCCATCCGCCGCGGGACCTCGGCATGGGACGATGCTCGCTAAGCGCGCCAGGTGAGCGAACACACCTTTGGGGCCACGACCGGCAAGATTCACTGGAATCGTTTGGGCCAGCAGGAGTCGAACATGAATCGTTTGAGCTGAACAGGTGAAAACCGAAGATGAGTTCGATCTCCTTTTTGCACCTTTTGCCAAGAACATCTCATTGAGACATGTGAGACAAGCTCTTTTTCGGGGTTTGAGGACTGTTTAGGGCCCACATCAAGCGGAACTTGTTTAATTGTCGTCATCTCACGACTGGTGGTCGATCGCCATCGTGGCTGCTCGCGAAGTCAAGATGTCGAGGAATCCTGGAAATCTTTGGAAGGTCTCCTTCTGTGGTCCATCGAACAGGCACGGTGTGGGACCAATGGCAAAGAGCTTTTCATGTCGACAGTGAACGACACCAACAAACAGCCAAGGGCATGTTTCTATTATAAAGCATTATGAAGCTGTCAGCTACTGTAGGTGATGCTATGCAAAGATATGTGAAGCTCATACTCATACAACATTCACATTATAATATATTATATACATATTGACACACATCACCGATATACTTGACTTGGACAAATTCGACAGCACATGCACTTTCATGACATGGCAGAGTGAAGCGAGCATGAGCATTGAGACCAAAGTGATGAACAGTCGGAAGCAGCAAGCAAAAGCCTATGACCTTTTCTTTTCTGTCTAACATTGTCTAAGAATGGTTTCTTTGTACCATGCCATTCCCTTCACCTCACCGGTGGGTGGACTGGATAGAAGACGACGCGTCAAGTGGAGTTTTCCGTTCTTCCACGGAGGAAGCGCCATCCTCCTTGCTGGAGATCATTTGGTCTTACATGGAGGACATGGCAGCTCGGTGTGTTGGGCTTAGGTGACCTCCTAAGAAACTCCCTTTGAGTGTACGGAACCTGTGGGGCGCCAGGTGAGTGCCTGGGTTCACTCCAGGAGGAATTCATGGGACTTGTACAAAGGTTGATTGATAAGGTGAGCAGGGTTGATCGATTGCGTTGCAGGCAGAAGCCGTTCACCACTAAGTCTAAGTTGGGTGAGGGTTGCCAGAAACCATTTCTCAGAGTTCCGAGGCCTCAAATCATCCAAAGCTGCTCTTGCTTCTACCACTACTGGTTCTGGTCGTTTGTTCCGTCACAGCCAGGACCCTGTGCATGCTGCTCTGGTAGCGGCCTCCGTCTTTCGAGATACGGCGGAGCGGGAGCATGGCTTTGCCTCGTGCGCTCGGGAGCGACGTGACTGTGGCGCGGCTGAAGCGGCGAGGCATGGCTAGGCACGTCCGGGTGTGAGTGCACAAGGGATTCCGTCAAAATTTGGCCATACCTTTATTGGTGAAGTGGTGTTCTGAAGTCATGGAAGGCTTTGATGTCTCATGAATTCAAGTAGGCCTTGTGTTGATCCTTCAGTAGCGCGATAGATTATAATCAACTAACTGTACCCATGAGAGTCTTTCCAGACTCCTCTCCCTACCCAGCTTGGTGGCCCAAACCCAAGCCACTCCGCTCCTCGGACGGGTGCTTCCAGGTACCATGATTGCTTGGCCAAGAAGGAGCTGGATGACGCCGCCGACCGCTTTGAAAGGCCGAACGGCGCTGAAGCTGGGGGCCAATGCAGATGTCTTTCAGCACCTTTCTCCCCCCAGAACAACACAAATTTGATGACACATCCCTCGTTGGAGCTGTTTTGGTGTTCTCATGTCTTCATGTCTTGGATCATTTGCAGTTCTCCTAGGTGCCATAGTCTTGGCACGTTTCCAACTTCGTCGGTTTGACCGACCGTCCAACTCTGCAAACCCGGACGCCGGACACGAACCCCCCACAGACGCCCGTGTGACCCCTGCGACTGAAACGGACACGGTGACCGTGAAACGGTGTGCCACCGTGAATCACGGCACTGGTACCGGGAACTGTTGGAGGAACGAAAGCACGCCAAAGGTCGCAGCAAGCCAATACGGACCAAGCCGTAGTCGTAAACCCTGGTAGGTTGACCTCCCTAGTCTATTCAGAGTCTATTCTGTTCATTTTCTGTGGTCGACCAGGGTTTGCGGGTTACCCACACCCACAAACGGGGTTCAGTGGATCAGCTCCGCTGAAGCGGTGCACTGAAGGCTTGTCGTACTGGTCATATTTGGTCATAGACATCCAGGAGATTCCACATCCACTTGGATCGCTGGTTTGTCATTGGAGTTGGACACCCAGGGAGTTGAGGGTTTAAGAACCTGCTGAAAAAACAAAAGAGGTACCTGCCCCCCTTTGAATGCACGAGCTTCGACACTCCGAAGAAAGGACTGCCAAGCTACGAAAGCCCGTTCGACGCTTCACACCCTTTCACAGCTCACGAGTTCACGACAGGCTAGCGGTGCTGGTGGTGGAGGATTTGGCCCTCACGGGCAAAGGCTCGCGGATGGGTGTTTGACAAGCAATCTCCAAAGACAACGGCTGAATTTCCTGAACTCGGGATAGATTGACGGTGGGAAAGAAGAGGCACACCGCGCCATGCCCAGCGCCCAAAAGTCGAGGGAAAGAGTCACACCGGAGAACTTGCGCAATCAAACATGTACACTCAGTTCCCCAGAAATTCCTTGATTCGGGAAGCTCTATGGGCCAGAGCTGCACTCCAGCTTGCCTTGGTCATTGCGGGGGGGCCACTAGCAGAATTGCCCTTGGAAGAAGGATCCACTTTGCTAAATGCTTTTGCTTGAGACTCTCTACATACGGTACTAACATGATGTATAAGAAACAATATACATTTGATTTATACATGACATTTTACATGTACAAGATGCTTCTCAAAGACTTTCAGAGGCATAACGGAATAACTACGGAAGTATCGATTAGGTCTTTGGACCCGAGCAGCTGATTCTGCGACACACGAGCTTGCACAGTAGGACCATCATCAAATGAAGCGAACCCAGCCCATGCAGGTGTGGATTACCTCTTCCAGGAATCCATGCGATGGCAGGCCTTTTTCGGACGGGACACCGTCGAAGCGTCGACTTCGGGTGAAGCCACTCGTCACTCGTGTGTGTTCTCCGTGGACACTCGGCAATCAATCTGCAGATCCAGCTTGGGGGTATTGAAGGTTGACTTCCGCACTGAATTTGCCAGGTTTTCTATGCCGGATTTCTTTGCTCAACCTGATGTTATTCGGAAAGCTGGTGTTTCGGCTTTCACATGGCCAGGTTTCAGGACAAGGTGGACAAGGGCGAACCTGCTTCAAGCTGGCTCATGAATTAGGCGCCCCGGGGGCGCCATTTTGGCAAGGTGTTTTGGCAGGCAATGCGGGTCGAAAGAATCATGCCAACCCTGATAACTTGCTGATTCTCCAAATGAATCATCCAGAACATGAAGACACCGTAGAATATTCCGGTCGCACAGCATCCTTTGTTTGTTGAGCAGCATCCCGCAGCATCCTCTTGTATCCATTTGTTGCATTTGCAACCGAACATCATATGGCTTTCGGATGCTTTCGGTACTTTGGTCCAATTTTGAGAATGCAACGAACATGGATCATCCATGATCATCCAATTCGGAACACCGGTGCCATGGCGCCAACTCCGATCCAATCCCCCCGTTGGCCGAATCGCACCAACACGGCAGGATGTAAGATGTTTGTCTCGGCGACCTTCTATCGCCTGGCGGTGGATTTGTACTGGATCACACCGGTGCCCTTCCACATCACCAAGCCGCTGCCCCGATGCGAATTATCGCGCGAAGATCATGGGTATTGTTGCGTCGTGTGCGTATATTCGAACATCGTACTGTGTTAAAAGTGTTGGTGGTGGAAGCCCCACGGCTGAGGGACAAACTGGACACGAAAGAGGTGAGCTGGCGTGGAAGCCGAGATGCCTCGGTGGTCATTCTGAAGTGGGGGGAAAATTTGGATCACAGGCTACCCCAGCAGCTCTACATATTCGAAAGACATGCTACGCAAGGGACAATAGCCTTACTGCTTTTGGCAGGTTTCATAGGGGGTTCCTGGTGCAGCAAGCTGTGTTTTTCGACATTTGATGTTTTACTTGCACTTCGATTGCAGCCTTCGATTGCAACAGCACGCAGGATGTAGCACAGCATGTAGCACTGCAGCCAAGAAAGCTCGCTCAAATGGGCTCAATCGTCGATTAAACCTCCGTGGCTTGAGGTGGGCATTGCTCAGTTTGCTTTGGAATTTCCAGGTGGGGAAGAGTGGGACGGTGTTCTGGAAGATTCCTGATATTCATGAGCCACGCACGCTTCATTCGTGCACAAGAACAGAGCAAACAGCTCAGGACCGGGGTCGGCGAAGTTCAAATTAAATATATTGTAATATATATATATATTATACTATAATGTATATATATAATATGATACAAATTTGTGTTTTTGCTGGTGCATAGATATATTAAGTCATTATAAGTCTTTTTACTCCCTAGTAGGTTGGAGGCCATCCGCTAGTAGTAGGTTGGAGGCCATTGCTACTAGAAACAATGGTATTGACAAGTCTTTCTACCCTCGTCCTTCCGCTCGCCAGATCGGTGGCTTCACTCTCTGGGAGTTCCTCTCCATTCCCTCGAGCCAGGCGGTAAAAGCGAGCGACATCGAACGACATGGACTCGGTTCAAGCAAAAGGGTTCCGCTCCACCTGTGCATGGTGTGTGTGTGTGCCCCTTGTAGTCACAGGGATCCTCTTGGATTGTTTCTGACGATTTTTCTTGTAAAGCAGGGGGGTGCAGAGCACAGTGGAAACTGCACCCAACGAAGCTATCCACTTGTGCTGGAAGCAGAGCCTGATCAGCTCTGTGTACCTGCTTGATTTTAACATTTGCCGAGAAGTGTCGTAAAGTGCTAGTGAGTTCGGCAGATGTGCACGCACGCCGTCATCTTGTCGATCCGAACTCGTCGATTTGGTGCTTGCGCTTTGGGCCTCGCTTCCTCTTGAAGACCCCCAAGCTCTTTAGGACTTTCCTGGACCTTTCAGGACTTGGGTTTCTTAGGCTGGCGTGTGGCATGTGGCATTCAGTTCAGTACGCCCAATCATGAGTGTGTCTGGCTTCATGCCAGCCCGGGATGAGCCCGCAGAGTGCCTCCCGTGGACCCGTCGAACGGGGGTTTGTCGAACGTATCCCCTGCCCGGATACAGAGAAGCTCGCAGCGAGCGTAGGTGGCCTAGGCCGAGAGAACTCAAACTTCAAAATTTTTGTATCATTTTGGAAATTCCAAGCTGGCTTATGCCTTCACGTGACCGAAGCGGTCAAAGGTGGCAGCCTCCGGGTAGGCCGTACGTGGTCGCAGCGACCAAAGTTTGTTCAACACTCGTTGGAGTCTGTCGCGACCTTAGCCCCCTTCCTCCTCCCCTTCCCTCCTCTCTCCGCCCCCTTTTGGTCATCTTGGGGTGTTCCTGAATGCAATACTCAGGGTCACCCCTCTATGAGTGGTGTGTCCCTGGACGCTTGTGCGTAGCTGGGAACACCTGTCCTCTTCCTTCTCTTTTCCCTCTATCTCTTTTCTCCTTCCTTTCCTTTCCCTCCTTCTTGTTTGGGTGTCCCTGATGCTTTCGTCCTAGCTGGGAACCCTTCTCCTCTCTTCTTTTGGTGTGTCCTTTAGGTCCTTGGACGCTTGTGTCGTAGCTGGGAACACCTTCTTCCCCTTTCCTTTCTTCTCTTTCTTTTTCTCTTCTCTCCCTACCCCTCCCTCCTGTCAGGACCTTAGAGTGGGACGCTACCTATAGGGGCTCCTGGCCTTACTACTAGGTGCAAGGACACTACTTTGACGCTACTACGGGCTCCTGGCCTTACTACTAGGTGCAAGGACGCTCTGGGACAGGGATGCCTCCCCTTGGGGAGGCGTGTGTGTGTGTGCCCCTTGTCACAGGGATCCTCTTGGATTGTTTCTGACGATTTTTCTTGTAAAGCAGGGGAGTGCAGAGCACAGTGGAAACTGCACCCAACGAAGCTATCCACTCGTGCTGGAAGCAGAGCCTGATCAGCTCTGTGTACCTGCTTGGTTTTAACATTTGCCGAGAAGTGTCGTAAAGTGCTAGTGAGTTCTGCAGATGTGCACGCACGCCGTCATCTTGTCGATCCGAACTCGTCGATTTGGTGCTTGCGCTTTGGGCCTCACTTCCTCTTGAAGACCCCCAGGCTCTTTAGGACTTTCCTGGACCTTTCAGGATTTGGGTTTCTTAGGCTGGCGTGTGGCATGTGGTATTCAGTTCAGTACACCCAATCATGAGTGTGTGTGTGTGTTTTTTGTGAGGCCAAGTTGTACTGGTTCTGCCATGTTTTCTGACAGAGTATTGAGTCCTATTGAGTCCAAATCTTGGGTGGGTGTGGTCCATGGAGCGACCCATGGTGAGTTGTTCTTGAAACAACTCTGGAACTTCGCAGTCAATTTCATGACATGCCCACCTCCGTCTTACATGTGTCAGAAGCAGAACCAAGGTAGGACTTGCATGATGCGGACGGACGATGGTCATTCTTCCAGCTAGTCGGTTGGTCGGACGATCTGCACCCAGGCATGGACTCATGGCATCTCAAGAAGTGTTTTTGCTGCCTGGCTGGAGATACGGGTCAAGGATTGCATCCTGAACGTCAATAGGTTTTGTCAGTCAGAAAATGCGAGGACTGCAGAAACACCTTTCAAGAAGGAGAAATCGACCAAACCATACCAAGTTCATTGATTGGGAGAGTCTCCCTATTCCAAGTACAATCTATAATCTATCTATAATTGTATGTATATACACATTGTAACTGATCCAGTTAAACACGATTTTGTCGCGATGTTTCAGGGCGCATAGTATGTTCAGGCATGTTAGTGAACATTTCATGGACTCTGTACAGACTGGAAACTCAGGTTGGCTTGTACTCCTACGCCGTCTTCAAAAGGCCCGGAGACACAAACCGACCCCACAAATTTTTGGAGGTTGTCTTGGTTTTCTTGCCGAAAACCATTCGGAAACCCTTTTTCGGCCCTGATTCCGTGCTCTTTCTCGGTCTTCTCATGTCTTCTCCCCTCCAAGGCTTCTGACGTTTGGCGGAATCTCCACCGTGGAGGCCGTTCTTTTTCGGGACGTGAGCTCGGAGCTGCTCAGAGCTGCTCGGTCGAAGGGCGAGGAACTCGGAGCCTCTGCACCGGAGCGTCCGGATGGAACATGATGCCTATGGAAAGCCCAGCACCGGAGCACCACGGAGGTCACACGCCAGCACCACGGAGCGTGTTCTTTTCCGATCTTTTGGTGTAACACAGGGCGACACCAAATCAAGCGCACGAATCAAGCTGCATGCATTATATATAAGCGTTTGTTTTTTTGCTTCGCCGTGTGTAATCAGTCGGTCAGAAAGAGTCTTCCAGATTCGTTCCAGAATTTCATGATTGCCAGAGGACAGGAGATCAACAAATGAGACTGTTCCATGTCTGCTTCCAGAATAATTAACTGAAATGCAGGGTCATGTCCACTTGCTTCCGCTTGATTCAGCAAGTCTCCTTCATCAATAGCAACACAACGGCATGTGGCTTTGATGGAACATTGCTCGGCCAGTGTTTTTCTTGTGACCTTTCTTGGGTCTCAGATCTCCCCTGTTTTCGTGTTTTTTCCATCCAGGACCCACATTACTGTTTGTTTCTCCCCATAGATGGTCACATCCCTGCAGAACACTCCAAAACGGTGCCCTGGCGGTAGCCACTTAATTGGTTAGTTAGACCTTGATCATTTGAACTCATTTTGTTTCCCAGTCCGAGGCTTTTGAGGCATGGGGAGTGGGCAGAGTGTTGGTTCGTTCGGCAGCCGCAGAACCCCTGCGTTCACTGGAGGTTTTCAGGTCTACTAGGGGAGCAACTAGGGCAACAGCCTCAAACCTAAAGCCAATCGCTCTACTACAGTGATTCCTCCACATTCCGGGCAGGTGCTGCTCTTCTTCTGGGGCTTTGGCTTTGGACTGGTGGAGATCAATCAGTTGCATTCGATGGGCTTTCAAGCCTCTCGTTGCACATGCCCTGTTTGGGGACTTCTTCTTTTCAAGAGGGTCGAGAAGCAAGGAGCGATTTCATTCATTTTATTACATGTCACAACCAGGTTGGAAAAAGTTGAATAGGTTTGGTATGGTTTAATAACTATAATATATATATATATATGTGTGTAATGCGTGGTTACTATTGTTGTATTTCTGTGTCACGTGTTCGCTTTCGACTTTAACTTCTGTTGCGAAAGGTCCCGCGAAAGGGCTGACAAAATAGGGTATGATAGTGTATGGCCCATGACAAGCAAAACTGTGGCCGGCGAAAAGCGGACCGCAATAGCCTGTTGCCATGGCGGATGCTAGGATTACAAAGCATTACAAAGCCAAGGATGCCGCTTTGCGACACAGCTCACCTGGTGATCTGAAGGTTTCATCCTGCAAGGTGTGTCTCAACCGGAGATCGCTTCGGCCGAAAACTCGCCGCCCCATGACGGGTTCCCCATCCACCACCGCGCACGCGCGGGGACACGTACGGAGCACCCCTCAACCTGTTGGGCCTTTTCGGGAGCCACAGAAGCGATCGGCAGATATGCCGATTCAACATAAATAGGAGTTCAGCTTCTGCGGGTGTGAAAGCTAAATGCAGATATTTCCAGCTCTTGATGTTGTGAACTCCTTTTCGATCACGGCCATGTTTGCTACGCTGGCAGCCCGGGTGATTCAACCGTGGCGCTAGCCTTGAGGCCTACATCCATGACTTTTGGAACTTTTTAGATGCATTGCCGCTCGGCCGGGCTAGCCAGGTGCGAAACAAGGTCCTGTGTCGTGGCTTAAACGGTAGCATCGAAGCCTGCTAAGAGAATAACCATGAACAACCGATTTGAACCCGTGGGTTCATGGGGTCCAGATCTTTTGAGCCACATCTATGTATTATTCAATATTTGCAGTTGATGCAATACGAATATTGGTGTAATCGTGAGAAATAGGAGTACTGGGAGCAGCGGTAGTTATGATATTGTGATGATGGTAAAGCAAATAGGGCGGCTAACGTTCAGAATTCCTATATCAGAAGATCCTGCTATGTGCGATCAGAGAGTGACATCATGATCTCTTGCTGACATGCTCAATGTCAGGATACCTGACCCTCCAAACAATTGGCCACCAGAGGCGTCGTTGACCCTCAGGAGCTCATCGTTCACGTCGAACCAACGCGAAGACCGTCGACCCATTTTTTGGGTCGCCCGCCAGAGTTTCCAGAATGCCCCTTGGTCGGTGGTCATGTGCCCATGCCGGAATGGTTGCCGGTTACGAGTTGTTTTCTGAACGAATAGCGATGGCCTAGTAGCGATGGCCTCCATTCCAGAATGGTAAAACGTCCCTTGAAGATCCTCGAAGCGCAAGACAAACCATCAGCATTCTTGAGAACCAGTGCATTGTACATTATGTTTTCCAGTGGTTCTCAGGGCTACGGGTGGTCGGATGGTCAGGTGTAGTCACGAGTGCTCAGTGCTAGCCGTTCTGTTGTTTGTGCAGTCTTCAGGGCTGTGAAAGCACAAATCTTTCAAAGGTGGCTCCCTCCTTGTGTATACAGTATGTTTGACTCCTCAAAGCCAAAGACTCTTTTCCAGTCAAACATCTTTGACTCCAGATGGGCCAAAAGGGGTACGGTACAGGGAACTCCGGTCTCGGTCCGGTACGGAGACACAGCTGGTTCGGCCGGGACGCAGATGCAGCGAGGCACATCACCGTGCTGCTGGGGGCGCTGGTTTTAGGTGTGGCCTTGGCAGACAAGAATGAGGATATCAACGAGGCGGGATGCGGATGAGGAGAAAAGAATCAACACGGAAAGACGGATCAGACCTCGGATCTCAGATCTTAGGCTCTTGCTGTTTGGTGCAAAAGAAGCTAGGCTCTGGAGTGGAGGACGAGCCCAAGTGTGGTAGATTCTAAGATAGATGATCAAAGGAATCACCTTGCATAGGTTCCTTACCTAAAGGTAGCGAATGCAAAGTACCTTTGCTGTTGAGTGCGTGGGTAAGCCAGCGCAAGCTGCACCCATTGTTTACAATTTCTTCTAATACTTATTATGCATACTTATGCCGCCATTATGCCTTTGCCATTGTAATGAGGTCGATGTATATTATGGTATAGTATATTATACCAGCTGGTTTGTTCCAGCTGGCTGATGTATAATATACCAATTAGGTCATACGTCACGAAATTCATACTGTAGTCATACAACATAAGACATGGCCGTGCCCTCCCTTCACTTCATGTGACCGCAGTATGCAAGACCATGGAAGTTCTCTTTCAATGTAGTTCATCGGCAAGATTGACGACACACATTTTTATCGATAAGATGCCCCTGGAATCCATTTGACCTTTTGAGCGGAAAAAGCATGGGCCCTCCCGTCGTAAATTATTCCAGGGTAGGGGTCACCCACAGGAATACTTGTCAATAATCATTTTGCAGGAATAATTTTGCGAACATCCTGAAGTTGAGGTGGGTGGATGGTACCCTGGAATAATATGGTCGGAATTGACTTTCAAGGCGTGATAAAATAATGATGTCATAACTTCAAAAAGCCGCATCACTTGCTCGCATTTGCAGCTGGCTCAAAACCAAAAAACGATCACGATCATGGGGGAACAGGAATGGTGTCACAAGGATCCTTATGACGCCTTTCGTGTTTAGACCTTAAGCCTCTCTTGCCAGAAAAGAGAGCTGTCAGATCTGTGGAACTGTGAAAAACGTGGCTCGGGCCATCTCGGGCCAAACGCTCCCCATTGCGTACGGGGTGATCACATCAAAGCCGCCCTAGACATAAATCTGGTGTCTAGAAGCCTGTGACTTCCAGGACGGCGAGTCCACGTCAGAAGCCAGACCCAGAAACCAAACTTGGGAACTGTCAGGTCACACCTCCTAGGTCATAGGCGCCCCAGCCAAATCTTCCTTGTGGACTCTGAAGCTTTGAGATGCGTGACCTGAAGCTGGATTGTGTAAGATATGTGCCCCAAAAGGGCAAGTTTGCCTCCTGTTGTATATGTCCCTGCTCCGTAACCAGCTATAATTGCTAAATTATTCCAGGGTCTATCACATCAAACTCACCCCTGGAATTATTTTAGTCAAGGAAAGAAACCACACCAAATTCGGCACAAAATTCCTGACCTGGTCTCACCCAAACTTGCTAAACAAACCATCAAACACGACAAACCAACACCAACACACACAAACCCAACAAGTTCTCACAACCACAAATCTTGACAACCACTGACCTACACCAGACTGAGTAATTGTGGTCCAACCATTCGGTTTGATGTTGTGTGGTGGCACTCTGCAATATCATAACATGACAACAAGGTGGATTTGCAGGGGCAAGTGTGTTTGGTCAGTTAGTTTGTTACTGTGTGTGGGCAATGTGTGTTGGTCATGTGAACAAATGTGTTTATGTTATTCTGGAATGTGTGAGGCCAACTCTGTGTTTTGTGGCCTGTGTTTCGAAAGTAGCTTTTGTGAAGGACAGGGGCACTGACACTGGACTGGAGGGGGGCACCAGAATCACATGAGTTTGCTTTGCTGGTTTGTTTTGGGGTTGAGAAGTAATAAGTTACTTCTTCCATGGTTGGAACAGTGTTGACCATGGTGAAAACAGTGCTGACCATGGTTGGAGTGGAACAGTGGGGCCCCATCCACCCTGGGGCCCCAGATGGTAGGCCCCATGAAAAAAACAAAACACATTTTGAGGAGTTGCTAGTCCAGAGCAGGTGCCACTCGGGTTCCAAGTAGTTACATGTCTGACCGTTGTGAAACCAGGCATATGTGACTTGGTTCCAGGTTGAGCACATACTGGAGATCACCCATGCTATGAACTTGCTGCCTTGCAGGGAACCCAGCAGGCGCTTCAAGCTGAATGTTCTTCAGGGTTGTCCTTAACATGAGTCATGGATGGTTGATGAAGATATTGACATATCTGAGGCTGGATCCGAGTCTTGCAAATCCTACAGCTTTCGGAGTATTTCGGGACCTTGCTGATCACAATCTTCGGAATGGCCAAGGACCGAAAAAACAACAAAAAACAAAAATCACGACAAATAAATTCCAGTGTTCCAAGGGTTGGAGGGTAGGACTGTCCCCTGGCTGAAGAGTTTTCATTGATTGAGATGGAAAGAGTCACCTTCCCAGGGGTGTCTTCCTCTTCGAGACAGCTGGACAGATGTCCCATCGTGGCAGGATGCCACACCACTGAGGTGGCATGTTCCAAGCTTCCAATGTCCACGTGTCCATTTCAGGTTGCTTGAGGGATTGGAAGCAGTGCCCCGTTGGACCCGCTGCGCGCCCTTGGTGCTTTTGGGTAGTTGGATGTCGAGGAGTCACACAGACACTTCAATTCTAGAAATCTTGACAGTAGACGACCAGCAGCGAGTCTCGTTAGGATGCGCTGAAGTTCTTCATCTTGGTGGTGATCTTCTGCTTTGGGCGCCCCAGACGCAAAGAGCTTGACCTTGGCTTCCTCATGATGGCTTCCGGCAAACGTGTTGTGATCTTCCTCTCCAAAAGATCTGGTCGGCACTCAAGTGGCGGTGCCTATCTGTCAAGATCAGAATGCCCCGAGCCAGTGTTGCCAATGGGTATTGGTTCCTCTTCCTAGCTATCATCAACTCTATAGGGTGCATATGTACATGGATTGCGTTCGGGCAACATACATGTTATTTGTTTATAGAAGCGGACCCCCAGCAGACTACGTTGATTCCGCACGGCAGCGCTGGGTTGGCGCTAGGTCGGCGCTAGGTGTGTTTGTGTGTTGCCAAAGTATTTTGATTCTCCTCTTCTCCTTCTTGTCCTCCTCTCTTCCTTCACACCCTCCCTCCTTGCCTCCCTCACTTACTCCCTCACCCACCGACTCACTCACCCACTCACTCGAATACCCACGATGTTTTGCGCTAGCCGCGCTAGCTCCGCGCTAGACGACGTTGCGCTTCGTAATCAGTGGTGCACGGCTCATGTAATTTTGATTCATTTTGACAAACATTAGTTCTTCATGCTTGCTGCGGGCTCTGGGTCCAGTCCTCCTAACCCACTAGCAGCAAGAGTCAGCAACTGCTACAATCCAGTACCACGCAGCGCCAGCCTCCATGCTAGCTACGTTTTGCAGTTGCTTACTTTTTTGACCTTGTTTATGTAAAACATATTTGTTTCTACTATGATCTACCATAGTTCAAACATGTTGGAGATTTAGAAGCGGGCCCCCACCAGGCTTGCAAAATTTACACGTTTGGGAAAAGGACTTTTGACAGCCGGCCACACATATTTAAATATATTATATTTATATATATATATATACATAGTTCAGGCAGTTGCGTTATGATTGAGCTATACCCACCAGTTCCTAGCACTGACCTACATATTGCAACTCGTCCTCGTAGCACTGCTTCGCACCTTTGAGTCCAACCATGTGTAGCTCTCACTCGCTGCCCATGGAGGTTCAGCTGTGCCATCACGCCGATACTCTTCCCAAATGGCCTCGAGCGCGATGAGCAGGCGGAACTGTTCCAAGATACTCCAGGACGTCAGCCACAGCACATCAAATACCTCGGGGGGCGTGGGGGAAACCCGAGTGTCGGCGAAGTCTTCCAGTCCTGCAGACTGGAATGATTCTGAAAGAGAGATGCATTTCATGACATTTCCATCTGATCCACAGTTGTTACGAGTTCTTCTCCATTTGGCTGGGATGTCTTGGTGCGGCAGGGCTTGACCTGGGCATTTTGGACGATCGTGGGGAATTTGGATGATAAAGCACTCAACAAGCTCTCGAGCTTGGAAAGTGGCACCAGGCGCTCTCGCGCGTGGCGTGTTTCTCTCGCGCCACGTCAAGACGCGTCGTTTGGGACTCTTGAGTGACCGCATAGGCTTGGTAAGCACAGTCGTGCTTCTTTGATGAAAGCATGGAACAATTTGATTTGGGATGGGGGGACACTGGAAGTCAGGGGAATATGCTCGGAATTCGGAGAAATTAAGTAGGCTCATAAATAGAGGTCCGCGCACACCACGGAGGTTCATCGCTGTGGTGTTGGTCTACACCTTGGCACTGGTGTGCAACGTGTGTTGGCCTCAGCTCATCCTTTTTTTGGATTTAGGTGCATATGGTGTCCTGATTAGGTGTTTGGCTCAAACAGACACCAGTCGTACAGCATGAATCATCATGGGGAGGCTCTTGGTGAATTTGCTCATTGCTGTGATGAACAGCACATACGAGAAGAACCAAGTGCGCACCTTAGCGAACCAGACGGCCCGGCCACGATTGGCCGGTTTCTTCTTGCTCCGTTTTTCAGCGGCGTGGCCATGAAAACAACGTAAAACGACTCTTCATTACTAAATGATTTGCTAGAGACTGTGCTTAGTGTGAGAGGATCCATGGCGTTTTGATGCTGACTCCTGTGATTCTGTTCTTGGGGTCCAGGCAGTTTCCCAGACACAATGGGCCTACAACAGAGTGGCATCCTGAGCTGCGAGCCTTTTGACGCCAGTTTGATGTTTGGACATGTTTGAACAATCTTCCAGGTGCCTGGACTGAAGATACTATCAAAGGGGCAACTTCATTGACTATTCTTGTAGCTTGGGGAGAGTATCCGTGACAAAGCCGATCAGCCTCTTCAAGATGCACCATGGTTCCCACTACTTGGGGGAAGCCCCTTTGGTCCCACGAATTGCACCATCTTCCAGCGTTCCATCAAATTTGGTAATGGTTTCCCAAAGCCTAGATGCAACTAACCTGTAGAAGATTGTAGAAGGATGCGGTTTGTGCGGAGTAGTTGGGAAACCAGTTCATGTGACTATGTGGTGACGATGCGATATGCGGAGTTCCATTGGGCGAAGGATATAAGCCAGAGTGGAGGCATTTGCCAGGGGTAACAGTAGGCAATAACATCCCTGCACCCATCATAGCCCGGGCATCCGGGGACGGCACGCAACTGTCAAAACCTGCCATGGCTGCGATGACCAATCATTTGATAAAGAGCGGATAGGCTCCGCTCAAGAGCGATATCCATGTTGCTGCAGTTTTGGGATATGTTTGCTTCTTGTACCTTTGGCCGTCCGTTTTTTGCCGAGGTGGAAGCGGTGTTGGAGTTCGACCATGAATCGATCCTGCAGGGAACTTGAAGTGAAACCCTGCGAGTTGAGACCGTGTGGAGACTGTGTTGAGACCGGTGCGGTCCGCAAAGATCAGCGACGGATCGGTGATGGGATTCCTTCGGTCTCTGACCGCCGGAGATCGGAGATCGGAGGCCGCCTCCGCTGAACTTGCTCGGCTTGCTCAAAACGCCGTTCTTCTCGTTCTTCTGGCCCTTCTTCTTTAAGCGTAGCAGAGCAGATTCCATCGAGGACGGTCCCAGCAAGGTCCAGAGATGGTCCAGATCGGTGGGGTTGACAGGAGAGAATGTTTGGGATGTTCACATCATATCATCACAAATTCATATAAAATCATATATAGATTCAGAGCAAATGGTCGTAATGGTTATGGGTGTCCCTGCTGATTGAAGCTGTGATTGCACTAAGGGCTTTGGGCAATTTCTGTTTGTCACCCAACTCACATTGAAACACATGTTCTTCCGCTTTCATTGAATCTATTGCCGACAGCAAGACAATCCATACTTGAGCCGCCAACCGACATCAACCGACCAAGCTCTCAGATTTGTAGATCCTGCAGTTAATGCCAGGTATACAGGCAGAGAAGCCTTTGGACGGCCTTCACTGGTTTTGCTTGTGATGACCGACCGACTACTTCACTTGAAGTTGGTGGGTGGGTTGTAGAAGGTGATCCGGAGAGAAACTACCACATGTACACCAATTGTCCATTGCCTGGTTGGCTTAAGATGGTGTGGATTGGCAAGCTTACCCATATCTGCATGACAACAATACCAGGAATTGTGATCACCCCCCCCAACAAAAATTCAAAAAATGCATCCACAGCCACTTGCATGTGCCTTGTAGCGAAAGGAACCATTTGGAAAATCCCTCCCTCGACTTGCGTTCCAATGGTTTGGCCCATCAATTCCATCTCTCCGGAACGTCCGGAACGTGTTGTTTCCCAGGAGGAGGCCGCGCTCGCGGGCGATGGCCGGGTGGACGTCTCTGTGACACGCCGAGACTTGAAGGACGGGGGCGGTTTCGCGGAGGAAGCGGGAAGCGGAGCTCGGGTGTGGGTGGGGAGAGGTACACTCTACAGGTCAAAGACTTCATTTTACTGGAGTTGGTCAGTTGGTCATACAAAAAGACTACTCAAAGAGCTAACGGTTCAGGTTCTACAGGATCTTTGGACTTGTAGGATACAGCTCCGGTGGATCCTTTCGAAAGAAGGGGCCTTTGACCGATTGTCTACGGTCGAAGTTTGGATGAGGTGCTTGCAGGAGTTGGGACGTTTGAGATTCTGGACACCGAGGCCCACGTGTCCAACCCAGCGACAGTCCAACACAATAATGCTGTCGTTTCACTTACGACAGTACTGTCAGCTGTATTGAACGTGACGAAGAGTTCAAGAGTGGTCGTGGGATGATGACGCAGCACGCAAGCTCCCAAATCCTGATGGGAAGGCCACACAAGGGACCACGTGTCGCCCTCTGACCGACCCGTGACTCATTTCAGAAAAGGGAGTGCTGAGTGCTCAGTTGAAGCATCCAACGGCTTACCCAAGTCGCGAACATGGATTTGTTTGCTATTGCAAGGGTCCGATTCATACCAAGAAGACATCGAAGACGAGTCCTGCGACCAAGGTTTTCCTGGCAATGCAGTTGGGTTGGCAAGCTCAGACATGCATTTCCATGCATTTCCTTCAGACTCTCACTACAACCAATTTTCGCATAGTCTTACTAACGGCCATACTGCCCTGTCAATTAGACTTAGAGTAATGGGCAGCTAGCAGACCTCATTTGCCCAGACCAACAAAGGGATGATCCAAAAGGGCCTGTGGACATCGAACTCAGCCGATGGTCACCGGCTCCCAACAACGCCAGGACGCTCAACAACGAGCCTTCAAGGCCATCACGTATGAGGCCTCCGGGTTTCTTCGGCAGCCACGCACTCCAGGCAGTGCCTCCAGCGCCGGTTCCAGCGCTTAAAAACCATGAGTTTGACATGGTATGATACGGGGGAAGTGACAATCAACGAATCAAGGGCTTTGGTGATGGTAAAGTCCACCATGGTCCACCACTTATGAGTCTTGCGAAAGGACTTGAGAAGATGTGCAAAACCTCCACAAATGCAAGCCCTGCAAAAAAGTCCAAAAAAGACACCTTGTCTCTACGATGACTCTACTGGTGACCCAACTTGTTTTTTCTAACTAATAGATTTCTGATTGCTCTGACACGCAACGGACCAATGGAGCTCCGATTTCTCCCAGGAGGACCGGGGCGAGTCGGCCATGCTCCGTGCCGAGCTGGCCGAGCTTCGCCTGAGGAGCCGAGCAAAAGACGTCAGAGGGTGTGGTTGGCGCAAGACCGGTGCGAAACAGGGAGGAACGGTGAGGAAAGAGTTGCAAAATGCTGCAAAAAGCCATCATAGCTTCTTGTTACTACTAGTAAGGCACTTTTTACTAGTAGCGATGCACTTGTTACTAGTAGCTTCTTGTTTCTAATATGATTCCCTTTTGAAGCAAATCTCTAAAAATTGAGTGAGATGCTCTGAAGGTGGGCTTTTGAACTAGTCTTTGCATGTCTTTGCTGAAGGTTGACGATTCCGCCGGCTTCCAGGAACACGCAACTGGACCAGAGGAACAAAGATCTTGAAGCGTTCGGCCGTCCTGTTTGGTGTGATGTCGCACCTGAGGACCGGAGGAAGATCTCCCAAGCAGTTGTCACTGGAAAGCAGGTGGTTCATGACTGGAATTGATGTGATGAATCTATTTGAGCAACCGCATTGATTACCGACATAACGACTAGCTTGAAGGCTTGGAGGTGGCCGTATGTGTTTTTCTTTTTTCAAAACGTTGCGGCGCTGAACAAGGTAGGGGTAAGTTGTAAAACGAGATCTCCATCACAGGTACGTAGAACACTTGGAAATGAGGCTCCAGACAAGCACCAATATCAAATTCAATTGAACGAGATGTGGGAAATACGACCTTTACATTTAAGTATTGTTATTTATAAAAGTCATCGCTCATTTGTCACATGGTGTGCAGAACAGGTATGAACGGATCCTTCTTTGCTGATGCACAAAATCATGTAAAGACAACTCAGAGTGAGCTCAAGGGACCTGGACCTGCAGTCGATTCTGGTAGTTTCACATGCTGCGCCTTGGGGGTTCGACTCAACCTGTTCAGGGAAAGGCCTTCCATGGTCTTCCCCAACAGATGTTGACCCACCCGCTTGACCCACCCGGTTTTCTTTCGACACAGTCATTGACTTTGACGTCGACATGGACCTCACTCGTCTCGTCGCCGTGGCCACTCGTCTCGTCGCCGTCCCCCGCCAGCTTGGCCGCGAACTTCCTTTTGGAGCGGAACGCGGCGGCGGGGGCCGAGAGACAGCGCTTCGTCCCGAACGGCGGCGTCCCGTTTGAGTTGGGGAGGGGGTGGGAAGTTGGCACTTTGACATCACTAAATCCAATTGCTTGAAGATTCCCCACCTACTGGTACGTCGATCTTCAGTTCTGGGAGATGATGAAGGGGTGATGCTCTCCACTGGATAGATGGACGAGTGATGAGGTCGAGTCGAGCACTTCTACGCACTTTCGACTGGACAGATCATGACAGGTGGTGGTGTCTCCGGAGACACCCTTCAACCATCCGCCCTCTCCGCAGCCAGGTGCGGAGCTTTTGGGAGACGATGAACACTAGGGGTGTCCATATCTGCTGTAGGATGTTCTTGCACCTCATGAGCTGGCGCCCTACGCTCATTGTAGTATATAGTAGTGATCAATGCCGTTTGCTATAGTGATGCATTCTATTTTTTCAGATGTATATATTTTCTGATCAGATACATGTGTTTTGAATGGTGGACACATGCGCTTTGACACTTGAAAATGTAAACTTAATGTTTTTTGTTTGTGTGTTGCATGCCACTATGGAAGCAAACACATGTTTTTTGAGCACTGACTCACAACAAAGGTTTTTGGACTGCAGACTATGTGTTTTGTGCGGTGGAACAGTTGTATCATTCCTTTGGCTTCTTCACACACCACCACCACCAACAACAACAACAACTGCTACTACTACTACTACTACTACTACTACTACTACTAGTACTACTACTACTACTACTACTACTACTACTGAGAAACAGTTCCTATTTTATGCGATGTTCAAAGATGAGTGGGATTGGTCCAATTCTTTGCTTTTTGTCGCAGGCTGCAGAATCTCTTTTTTTCAGAATAACACAACCAAGTACTGAGGGCACGATCGATCGATCGATCGATCGTTCAATCAATCGGGGCAGTGCAGCTGGTCGGCTGGCTTCACATCTGAGTCGGTAAAGGTGTGAAACAGCTCACCATCACTCACCATTCCTGTTTTGCCTTTTGTTGGGCCCCCACTCTTCCTCAAGAGCAAAACTTGACAGCACAGGTTCAGGTGCTGCCCGGAAGAATCGGCGTTTGTGAGAGCCTCACACCGTTTGAAGAGTTGGAAGGATGACTGGTGAAGGACGACTGGAGTCGGCAAAAAGGACTTCTGGCCCCCCTGGGGTTTAGTAGACGTTTGACTGACATACTGAAGAATGACACACTGTAGATGTTCACAAGAGTTTGCTTTCTTTTGTTTTGTTTCCTGGTTTGGTTTGTCAGCAACACCTTTCCTGGCTGTTGTTGTTTGAAGAGTTTGCCAATCCACTTCTGGTGTTATATGGGTCTCCCAAGGCCTAGGACAGAAGGTTCAGGAAAACCTGAAGGCTCCAAACGCATCATACGAGTTGTTGAGGGGGATGGACAATGGCCGATTCAGCATACCTATTTGGGTGCTTACCCCAGTGGGAGACCCAATAAAGCACTTATATCGGGCATTGTTTACTATGTACCCTGACAATGCAAGCTTCATTTTCAAATCCTTGTGCCTAAGAAATGTTTGTCGAGGCTGACATGTATATTGATGAATGCATCACAGATTTGCCATACATATATTTAGGATCGTATAAACCGCTGTTTTTTTGGTTTGCATCAGCTCGATCCGGGACCACACAGAGATTAATTAAGGCACATGTTTGGTGATGATAGCAGATGAATCAAGAGGGCCCTGTTGCATCTGCTGGTACCATTCATCCTGAAGTAGATAGAATATGATAGAATAAAATGGAATAGATCCAAGACCGACAGGATTTAGCTCGCCCTTTGGGAATTAAGTTGTAACATTCTAGCTATTTGGGGATGCTTGCCTTTTGTTTTAGTCCTTTAGGCAAGAGGCATCGATCAACACCAAGGCCAACTGGACCTTTGACATATTCTGCCGCTCTCTCAGAATGGGTGAGACCCATCGGACATGTGGGTATGTCACCACTGACTGAGTAGTTGGGGTGGATGAGACTTTCGAGGTGTTTTGAGGCTAACTGCAGATTTGTTTTGAACCAATTTCTCCATTTCAACGTGGTCATTTTTGCGTATACTCAACTCAGAATCGAGAATCGAACATCTCAGGATGATCACAGTCTAATAGTCTACATCCCTCGGGCCCGACGGACAAACTCCATTCAACGTGCTGGCTGAACCCACGGGAGCTGTACTTGCAAACTCAATACCAATCACTGGAATTCAATATGTGTCTCACGTGAAAGAGCATGAACACCAAATTCTAAATTCAGTAATTCACTGCAATCATGCAATATCATGCAATCAATTCAATCAAAAACCAGTTCTTCCATTGCTTTTCTTCCCCAATTCTTTCACCCCCGCGGCCTCACCTCCCAGGTGCTCACGAGCGGCGACAAGAGCCCCATACGGTCCAGGGCACCGTGAGATTCCGTGGGGTCGGGGCTCCCCGATTTGACAGAGATGAAGGGGTAATCCCGGTAACCCTCATCCCCCAAATCGGAAGCCGGTCGTTTTGGGGGTAGAAGTGTTGTTGAACGGCGACGCCCCACGACGATCTTGACGTAGAAGCGGTGCGCAAGCACTGCCATCTCCCATCCTCGATGGTGCCATGGCCACCGAATGCGCCCACCACGTCTCACCCGGCGCATTTCCCCGCGACACAGTGCACCGGACCGTGACCATCGGGGCATTTCCCCGTGGGGCCGAGGAGCCCGAAAACGCTCGTTCCCGGCGGTGTGCGGTTGGCGGTGCGGTGCAGGTGGTTGCATGGAAACCGGCCGGCTGGTTGTTTTGCTTGGTTCTGTACTAGTGAGGCTAAGGCTATATAAGGCTATAAGGGATGTATATTTTATTCAGATGTTTTTCCGATAAGGCTGCGGGAGGCACCTTCGACGTGAATTCCAGGTAGTGGTTGGTAAGGTTCATGAGTTGGAAGGGAACAATCTTCCAGTAGAATGTTGCAGCACACACAGTGAATAATATTCAGGAAGAGATCACACAACTTTGAGTGAACTCACGGTGTTGGAACCACTTTGTTGGCTCCCAAAAACCGTGGTGCTTGAGGTTGCAACGCATGCCAACTGCTACAGTGGGTCAAGCTAGGCTTATTTGATAATGTGATCTCTTTCTAATTACAGAATATTACAGATCACCGGCCAGGCAACTAACCGCCCCCCCTGTTTTGAATGTTGTCCGGCTTGTTGCCATGGGCAGGGTCTGATTGACCATGCGGGCATCCGTGCTTCTTAACCCGCGTCAGGTTGAAGCACTTCCCAACGCTACCCCCTTTGGCTATCAACAGCTCCAACCAACTGTCACCGGGCCGGTTCTGCAATGCCTCCGCCACGTCTTGGTTGCTCGAAAAAAACAGCTGCGTGGGCGGGCGGGTCAAGATGCCATGGTCAAGAAAGCCGCCAAGAAGCCGGCCATGGAGGCAGAGCCAAAGAGGAGAAGGAAATCCGCGGTGAGTTCACCACCCGCGGCCTCTCCACAGATCGCAGAGCCAAAGAGGAGAAGGAAGTCCGTGGTGAGTTCATCACCACGACCTACTGCATCTCCACAGACAGGAGACAAGTTGAGACAAGTTTTGGAGGGACAAAGCTGGTGGGCTTTGGGGGGATATGAGGAAGTTACACCTTGAAGAACTCAGCATGCGATGGTTGAGATTTCGAGATCCGATCCGACCTTGGTTGTGTATAGTAAATACATATTATATATATATTACCTATAATTTGACTCAGACTCTAATATTACTATATATATTTAATCTGCTAATCTGCTTTCTTTTTTTTAAGTTGGATGTTTATTTTGTGTTATATACCCAGTGAGTCAGCAGGCAACGCGTGTCACAGCAACACTCGTTTGACCACTCTGGAACCGACACCAGGACGTGCACGGAGCGTGGAAGAAGCTGTTCCAAAAGGCAAGACATACTAGCTGAATGGTCCGACGTCCATCAGTGGTGTAGATCGATTTTCGACATCTTTATGGGCTTTTGAGCGGACAAACATTCTCATGATGAATTCCTCGAAGATACCTATGGTTTTCATGTGTTATCATATGTTGCATACAGTTTCTCCATGATGAGTTAGTGACAGTCACTGTTTGCCCCCATTTCGATCGCAATGAATCTTTTGTGACTTCAGAAACCAAGTTGACCACAAAATCTACGAGTATCAATCAATCATCCAAAATCTGACTATACCATACTATACCTGTCTCAAGTCCACAAGAGTCTTTTTGGCAGCCGTCACCACTCTCGAAATTTGAGCCAAGAGTTTTGAGGGCTCGTCATGGAGTAGGATCTTAGCATATCTTGGCCCTTCTTGAAATCCTCCCCAATACATACCAGCTGCTTCTTGTGGGGTGTCCAATAAACTACCTTGTGGGATGATCATCATAGATGACATAGATCTTTCAGGATCTTTAAGAAGGGCCTTCCTTCTTTCATGATCTTTCCCCTTCCTTTGAGGAAGGCCCAATTCTTTTTTGCCGCCACGTTTCACCGCTGCCAGGCGCCGAGAGCAGCGTGACTAGCGCTCGGGCGACAGAGCCTGAGGCCGCGCCAGGGGAGCGGCCGGAGCGGCTGGGATTGAATGGGATTCATAGTCATGGCGGCAATGGCGTGTAATGAGTCATGGTCGTGATCAAAGGGTCCCTTTTTTGCTCTGCTTCCATGCCATGCCTTGAACCATACGGCTCTTTGGTATGGTTCAGAACGGAGCTAGGCAGTCTTTATGCCGAGCCGGTGTGTTTGGGGCTGACGGTCAACCACCTATGATTTGCTTCGATGCGTCTCAGTCCAAAGTTTCAACTTCGGTTTGGTGTTCGCAGCAGGTAACTAGCGGCTTGGGCTGAACCATGTCCTTCAACCAACCGCTTTCCCTTTGCGAGTTCGGGATTCGGAGCTCGACTCAGACAGATCCACAATACGCTTGAATATATATATATATGTGTTGTTTCACGCTAGGATGTCTAATACATGTCTCACTTACCTACCGTTTGGCTCAAGGAAAACCAGGTGCGACTTGTTGGTAGTTCTCGGTCGTTTACCTGTAACTACAGGTTATCAGCCGTATCGCCATAAGTGCGGTACGTGCTTTCTACTAGCTGTGGTCTCACCCCACCATAGGTAGTGCACTATCTAGAGGCCATGGCTGATGATGATAGTTCCCGTGGTGATCGCTCACGCTCAGGCTATGTTCCTACTTCGCCTGCGATGTCCAGTTCGCCTGCTCTTGTGCTCCCTGTTGTTCCGCTGGAGTTGCGTGCGCCAATTGGGCCACCGACGTTCAGTGCACAGGGGGACCTGTTGCCTAATGTTCAAGCCCCGTCGCCGTTTCAACCTGAGTTTTCTCCCGTGACGAATGTCCAGAACGTTGATGCAAGACAGATTCATCAACAAGCCGTCTTCGTCAATGAGGATAGGTCAGCTCAGGTAGCTCAGATCGCGGAACTGCGGCATCAGGCCATTTTGGCCGAGCATGGGCAACAGGTAGCAGAGGATGCAAGGCATTTTAGAGACTTAGTGGAGAACCAAGCTAAAGTGGCTGTCCAGGAGTCTAGGGAACAAATTGAGGCTTTAGCCAATCAACGATTGAGTGACATGAACCAAGCCCACCAAAATCAACATCTTAATGAACAACGGGCTTACCTAGATCGCCTTTCGCTCGAACGACACGCCGTCGTTGAGAACGAACGCGCCTCTGCCAAGCAAAGAGAGGATGCACTTCGGTCAGAGTTAGCAGAACAGAGTCGAATCATCAAGGAGTTGAGAGAGAGGTTTGACAACGCCTCGGGGAACCGAGTGCCTGCACCATCAATGCAGCCACTTGGGTCTCAGGTGTCCCCAGCTTTGCCTCCGGCGAGCCTTCGCACTCAGTTGGAGAAGCCCGGGATCGAAGGCGGTGATGAGCCTCATCCATCCGATGCTGATGAAGAGGGTGGTGACAAATCAAAGAAAGACAAGAAGAAGAAAGGTAAGGATAAGAAGAAAGAGAAGAGCCCTAAGAGGGGCCGCTCTAGGGAGCGCAGAAAGAAACGCTCTCCTTCCCCATCACCCTCGTCACCCAGTTCATCAGGAGGGAGTGATGACTCAAATGACTCAAGTTCTGAATCATCGCGTCTTGCACGCATCATTCGCAAGGAGCTGAAGAAGCAGCAAAGGAAGTCGAAAGACAAGGATCATGAGAGTAAAGCCAAAGAGGCTGACAAAATTCTCATTCCCAAGTTCCCCACACCTGAGAAGTACAGAGACTGGAAGATCAAGGTGAGGGACAATATTGCTGCAGCTTCAGCGAAGCCGGATGAAGCGAGATCTTGGGTTGGGAAAGTATACAAAGATTCCCAAACCATTGATGCCTTGGATGATTCAGAGGGATTCGCAACCCTCGACGCAAAGCTTCTTGCAAGCTTAACCAATTGCGCTGAGGGGGACCTCGGTCGGCAGATTGCTACATTCAAGGAGCTGCGAGCTCGTGAAGACAAGAACGTGAAGGGCAGGCATTTGCTACTTCGGTTCCACGAGTACTTTGCCACAAGCATTAAGCATGGAGCAATCTACGGACTCGAAGACCTCATGTCCGTCAAGATGGTCAACGATGACCTCAAGGGCTTTATAAATAAATGGGATAGCGTCCTTGCCGGAATGAAAAAGGAACCAGAAAATAGTGTTCTGGAAGCCTATTTCCACCTGGCAGTGAAACGTTTCAAGCCGCTTGAGCATGACTTGGCCTTGTACGACCGTGCAGCCGATGGAAGCAAAGAAAGAACATACGACTTCCTGATTACTGCTGCCCGGGCCTACCTCGAACGGAAGAGGTTGGAAAAGATGCGCGACGCCACGAAGCGTTCGCTCGGGTCCAAAGACACAACCATGCCAGCTCCGGAGGAGAAGAAAGGCATCTGCTACGAGTTTCAAAAGACCGGAAAATGCAAGCGCGGATCATCATGTCCTTACAAGCACGAAAAAGGCCGCGAGAAAAGCAAAGGAAAGGGAAAGGGTAAGGATCGCAGCCAATCTCGGTCAAGATCGCTGACACCAGGATCTCGCAAGGAGACTTGCAAGTTTTGGAAGGCAGGGCATTGCCACCGAGGAAAAGACTGCGCATTCCAACACCCTGAAAAGACTGTCCCTGCGAAGAAAGAGGACAAAAAGAAGAAGAAGAAGAAAGACAAGAAACCTCGCAAGCGAAGCAGCTCACGAGGATCATCAGGCTCCGACAACTCAACTGGCTCTGAGAGTCAGAGGAGAAAAGGTGGGAAGTCTTCTTCTTCCAATGCACCGGCAGCGGTATGCCTCCTTCGAGCAGTGGTCATGGCCGCAGTGGTCTCTCAGGGATCCTCCGTCCTCATCACTCGCCCGCTGGGAAGCGTGGCCATGCCAGTCCTTTCCGCATCAAACACTATGTGCACCGATTTTGACAACACAGAAAACATTGACAATTTTGTTACGCAAAGAGTTCGTTTTGACGATCAACCAAACGTTTTCAATCATACTGTTGAGTCTTCTTCCAGTTGGAGATCCGTTCAACCCCGAAGTAAGAAGAAACGAAGATCCTTTACACCAGGTCGACCGGAGCATGCTGAGGCAGTTCGGGTCGCTACAGAGGACGCATCCATTGCAGCATCACACCTTCAGAATGCTGTTAGGAACGAACTTTTGTCCCTGCCGGCAGAATGTTCGTACCTGTGCAACTCCGATATGGGTTGCATCAAGTGTTTTGAGAGGAGGTCGTGTCCAACAGTGCCTGCCACTGAGATTGCATGGATCGCAGACACTGGGAGCGCACACGATCTTGTGTCTAGGCACATGCTACATTCGGATGAAGTGTCACAATCGTCCAAACCGGTCAGTCTTCTTACTGCCAACGGAGTCTTTCAAGCCACTGACCAAGCCAGAGTCAATGTCCCCGTGTTGGGAGCTGACATCAATCCTTACGTCTTGGAAGATAGCCCAGCCGTCGTATCGGTAGGACAACGCTGCATCGACGCAGGATGGAGCTTCCATTGGCCCGCTTACAGTAGGCCGTACTTCAAGAAACCAGACGGAACCAAAGTCAAACTTGAAGTAGAGGATTATGTTCCATACTTGCCATCAACCACTGGTGTTGCAATGTCCGCCATAGGTCAACCTTACGGTACGAACGATCGGTCAAGGGGACTGCGACCAATGATCCCTCTGCCCGCGTCACCGGCTGAAGAGGCAATTGAGGTCCAGGACGATGCCCTAAGTCACCCAAATTAGTAATTTTACTAACCATAAAATTTACGTAAATTTCTGGTTTTACTAAGGAAAATTTACGTAAAAATTTACGTAAATTTAATAGTAAATCCAATTTAGGTTATGAGTAAATCCAATTTAGGTTATTAGTAAATTTTTTAGGTTATGAGTAAATTTTTGCGAGCATGATTTTGAAGCAGAAAATGTCTCTATTTATGTGAGTTGGCTTTCTCCAAAGAGGCAGGTTTTCTACAGGACAACATGTACTTGAGGATATTTGCGCTATGGATTTTTGTTTTTGTTGACTAAGCATGCCAGGAGGTGTGGACTTTGCCTTTACTTGAAGGGATTGCATTTACTTGAGCATGTGTACCCTTCTTGACTTGAACAAAACATTTTTACTTGAGGGTGTCTACTTGAGGGAGTAAATTTACTTGAGGATATGTACTTTTCTTCACTTTAGGAAGAAGAGCATTCTCTGATTCTCTGATGGTTTTTGCCAGTGTGAGGGTGCATGTTTTATGTGAGAGATCTTTTGGCTCTGTGAGAAGAAGAAAAAGAAGAAGAACAAGAGACACCTCAGCAAGAAGGAAACAAGCAGTGAAAGCGCAAAGCTGACAAGATTCTTGGACTGAACTTTAAACAAGTTTGCTTGTTGAAAATTAATTGTTCAAGTTTGTATTAACTGCAGCAAATGAACAAGAGTTATGTCAATGTTGGCTTGAAACCATTGTCAGGAGGCGTGACCGCATCAATGCCATGATGGACTTGATGAGGACGCTGCAAGATGACAGCAGTTCATCTCTGGAATCCTTGCAGTGAAAAAGACACAAGCAGCCTTTGGGGTAGAGTTGAGGGCACGCATTGTGACATGATGTTGAGAAGCTGTTACATGAAGAAGATCTGACTTTACTTGAGAAGCTTTTACATGAGGGTGTGACTTTACCTGTTGAGCTTTTACTTGAGGATGTGATTTCACTTGAGCATGGCACACTTTACTTGAGCATGGCAGACTTTACTTGAGCATGGCACACTTTACTTGAGCATGGCAGACATTACTTGAGGATGGTTTTACTTGAGTGTATTTTACTTCAGTGGTTGAGACTTTGTGTAAGTATACTTTACATGAGGACGCCATTCAACTTGGAATTGTGTGCTTAGTCTTGTTTAGTTTTGTTGTGAGTTGAAGTGTATTTGATATGTATTTATGAAATTTAGTTCAAAAAACTAGAAATTTAAGAGAAAATATTGATGAATTCTTGATGAACTTTTGATGCACTTTTGATGCACTTCTGATGTACTTTTGATGTACTTTTCAAAAGTGTATACACTTTGAT